ACAAGGTCAGCATGACAGGCACAGTCAAAGGCCTCAATTAAGCGTTACCTTTCGAGCCATGATTGTTTTCGTGGCTTGATGCATGACCTTGCTGACGGACCCGCCATTTCCAGCGCCCAGATCTTGCATATGCTTCAAATCTTCTGCACGAATATCCAACTTGAACTCGACCCCAATCTCCAGCGTGCTCAGGTCCGGCCCGCTGCTTTTCTCCGAGGCAGCAGCTGGAGGAGGAGCCGGCTTTGATTTCAACATCAATCCCTTAACATTCTTCCTCTTCAACGTCTTTGGTTTTAATTCGACCGACATGTTGGAGTCGTTATCGTAGACTTGCGACTAGGGACAGGGCGGGAGGCGGCGTCGACGATGAAACCGATGGCAGGGGTTTAGAAATACGGCGGACTCGAGCTTAGTGCCAAACGTCGCAGTGAGGACTCGTACTGGTGGCCGTGAACGTTTGCGCAGGAAGTGTGGGCTGCAGGTGGCGGGAAATGCCAGGCGGATTCCAGAAGACAGGAGTCAAGCAGCCAGCCTTATGCGCAATGAGGCAAAGGCAGAGGATACGATGTCAGGCACCGTGAGGAACAGGGCGAGTTGGTGCCTCGTGTGACAGGGACGTCGGGCGGATGTCAGTTACAGCAAGCCAGACGGGTGGATAGCTGCTGGGTCGCGGAGGGGGGGAGGACAGCGGAGTCAGGCGGTGTGGGCGCGAACTGATCGTCGCGGGCGAGGGGTAGGGAATCGGAAATGATCGCAGGAGGGCGGAGCCTTTTGAAGAGTTGACGGATCGCGGTCGTTGAGGGGAGGGGGGTGTTGAGATTGTCGTAATCTCGTTGGGGAGCAAATGGGGATAAGGAATGGCCGGGGGAGTAGGCAACGACAACGCCGAAGACAGCAACAGCAACAGCGAAGGAGCGAGCGGCGGGTGAGGGAACGGTTCGGGAGGGTGGAGAGAAGGAAGAAGCTCAGAGGGAGAGCTGAGCGGCGGGGATATATAACACTGGAGTGGCGGACGGTGGGGTTGGCGATGGTGGTGGAGGGAGTTGAAGGAGGGAGTTGCGGGCGGAGAGTCGCCGGGTGTATCTGTCTCCCCGCTGCAGCATTCGACAAATGAGAAGCGCGGGAGAGTGCAAGCGCCGAAGAGCAACACGCGCAAAAATAGACACTGCAAGCCCAAAGACATCGAGAGCGCCTGGAGGCGGTATTGGGAGGAATATCGGTGAACGCATAGCATTCCATTTGCATGAAAGACGATGTGCAAGTTCATAGGGTGAGTGCATGGACCAATCACGAGCCCGTTGGCCACTCGAACAGGGGGTTACCTTTACCGAGTGATAGAGGTGGTGTTCAGCCACAGTAGCACCGCCACTTTCATGTAACCAGACGTGACGAATTCAATTCTGCACCTGAAATGAAACCGAATACCAACTAAAGCGTTCTTTCCTATCCTACATCCGCTCTCCTGATGGATTTGCCGATTCAGGACAGAGATTATGCATTGATCTTCATGTACATAGGGCAGGAGAGTCATCGCTCGAGAACCGGGGGCCATGGGGAGACTTCAAGTAACGGTATAAGTATAATTGATCATGCACAACATTGTGGAAAAATGATTCAGACTGGCCAACACCTTCAAATCGTTTGTAATCGTATCACGCAACCAATACATGTTTCTTGCGCCGCACTACTGTCACACCATGACACCAAATCCAGCGACTGACGACCTCAAGATCTAGAATCCACAAGTATCTACGAGAATACGCCATCACTAAACTGCGCGACCACCCGCCTTCCACGTCCACCTCTCGCCATGTCCGTGGTCCAGAAACCTCAACGCCGCTATCGATCAACATCATTACGACGCACTTTGCGCCCATCTTAGGAGACCACTGGTCCCAGCTACTGATTGATTGATTGATTGATTGATGTCATTTAAGCGCATGCGTCCCTTTGGGGTATGGCGCGTCCACTATTCTACAGCCTCCACCCTCACCCTCCCCTTTAAATCTACCTCTTTCTGGCCTTCTGCATACATAGAATTTTGTCCACTTTCAACCCTATTTCTCGCTGGCTCTACGCACTGGCGATGGCCACCTTTTGAGTTGTGCTAGCGAGCTGCTAAACCCATTCTCTCCTCTTCCTTTTCATTTTAATATGTATCACCTCCCCTCCACTCTCAGCTCGTGAGTCCTTGGGCTTCGTGCTCCACCACAGCTCTGAGCCGTACAACATTAATACCTGAACCACAGCGATCTGTATTTTCTTCGCGTTTGCCGGGCAGATTCCTTGGGTATAAGTAAGTCTGCGGATCCGGGTTTCCGCCGCTTTCGCTTTCTTCATGCACGTATTGTGGTGTTCACGGAATTTCAAGTGGCTGTCAATCCAAACCCCTAGCCATCGTGTAGCTGTACGGTTGAAAGGGACTTCTACCCCTCTACTTGGATGCGGTATCTCTCCATGCTTGCTCGGAACTTCTTGTTATTTTGGCAAGAGAATAGTATTGCTTCCGTTTTTGCCAAATCGAATTCTACAGCGTTTCGAGAGGCCCATTATTCTGCACAAAGTGCTGCCTCCTCAAGGCGTTTGGAAGCCTTTTCTGCATCCTTGTCTGTGGCTATCCAAGCTATGTCATCCGCGTATGATATTGCTGTAACCTTGCCCTTCCTTTCGACCTTCGCGAATATTCCGCTCAAGTAAATAGCAAATAGAATCGGCGAGACTGGCAATCCCTGTGGTATCCCCGTTTGTACAGGGTGTTCATTCATGTCACAGCCGTCAATCACCATCCGTACCCGGCGGTCTTCGAGGAAGCTTGACACCCATTTTACCAAGCCTGCTTCTACCCTGAGTTGAGTCATTCGGGCCAGAAGTCAGTTTCTCGCAACGTGGTCAAAGGCTCCTTTTACATCCATCAAGAGCATTGCCGTTGTCATGTTCTGTTCCCACCCTTGTTGGATTTTCTGCATTGCGATTGCTACCGCGTCTACCGCCGATCTTCTTCTCCGGCTGCCCATTTGACTGATGTGGAGACCTTCATGGTCCCAGCTACTGATTGATTGTTCTCGCCATCCCTTCGCCCTGGCGAGGGATGCAATTTGAGTTGAGCTCTAGTTCCGGCTCCTTCTCTCCTCTTTCACCTCATATTAATAAGCATCCCCTCACTCTCTGTCTGCTACTCCCCCGCGTCTGCCTCCCTCCCCTCTTGCTCCTCAGTTTCCTCCCACCCCCACTGTTCAAATCTTTCTTCCTCGCATCGGTCCTTTTCCTCCTCATGGTATACCTTCCCAACATTTGTGACTTCCAGGAATTCGAGGATGGTTGTTGTTGCCTTTGGCTCTGCGAACACATGAGAGAGTGCATGAGTCTTTGTAAGTCCTATTCGTCCGAGGTCTTTCCATAACTTCTCCTGTTGTCTCCTCCAGTGCCTGCATTCCTTGAAGAGATGATCGCGGTTTTGTCGAGGGGCTCCACACCACCAGCACTCTTCGTTCTCTGCTCTCATGACCCTTTTCAGGTGCACTGCGGTTATGCCAGTGTCGGTGGCGAACCTGAAGTACCTGCGTGCAAGGCTTATGCGGGATTTTGCTAGTCCATTCTTCTGCCTCCTTCGATGCTGTTTCTTTCGCTCTACGCTTGATGTGTGTGAGTGACGTATTTCCAAATCGCCTCGCGTTCTCTTGCTTTCTTTGTATGGAGGCCGCTTCTTTGGCTGCCGAGTCCGCAGTTTCATTTCCCTTTACGTCTCGGTGACTAGGGACCCAGTGGTAGTGGACTTCTACTCCCGCTGCCACCAGTTTTCGGTGGTGGTCTCTGATGTCTTCCGCTGCAAGCATACCCGGTCCAATTTCTTTCGAATTTAACCTCCTCAATGCATTCATTTGATTGATTGATTGATTGTAATCATTTAAGCGCATGCGTCCCTTTGGGATATGGCGCGAGAACTAACATACAAAACGTCCCCTTTCCGCAGTGTTATACTGCTTCTACTCAAAAACTCTGTTTCATCCGTTTTCAACCATTTTCTCGCCGGCCTTGCTGCCTTTGCAGTGGCCGCCTTTTGAGCTGTACACTGCAGTAAGCTGTGGTGTACTTAGACTCTCCTATACCCACCGGCTTTTCTTCTCTTGCTTTACTATATGCTCATATCCTCCTCCACTCCATACTCTTTCTCCCACCCCCATTCCTCATGTACCCGCTCTTCTTCGGCTCTGTCCTCGTCCTCTGTTTTTCGTCTTCCCACAAGCGTTTCTTCGATGAATTTTAGGATCGCTTGAGTGGCCCTGGGTTCCGCGAAGATTGTCGACAACGCGTGCGCCTTCATAAACCCTTCTTTCCTCAGCGTGTTCCAGAGCCCCTCTTGCTCCCTTCTCCATGTTCTACACTCCTTGAACAGGTGGTCGCGGGTCTGACGGGGTCCGACGCACCACCAGCATTCGTCGCTGTCTCTTTTCCCTAACGATTTTAGGTAGACCGCTGTGACTGCGCGGTCTGCCGCAAACCCGTAGTATTGAAGGGTAACTTTTTTCCGAGCTTTTGCAGCTGTTGGGTCCACTTTGGTAGACTTCCTGAGCTTGTATCGCTGGGGATAGTACTTTTGGCACTTCACCCCAAACCACTGCTTCTCTTCTTGGTGTCTGGCTTCGTTGATCAGCCGGCTGATATGGGCTAAAGAGGGTTTCCGGGTCCGCCGAGAATTCGGGTTCCGGGTGGCAGCTTCTTTCGCTGCTTTGTCTGCTGTAACATTACCTATAATGTCTTGATGGCCGGGTACCCAGTGTAGATGCACGTCCACTCCTCTAACGCTTAGTTCCGCGTAGCTTTTCCGGATCTCGTTGGCCATTTCTTGTCCCGACCCTGGGTCCAATGACTTGATTCTTTCCAGCGCAAATTTGGAGTCTGTGAGGATCCGTATTTCGTCCGGCCTTGCGCTTCTCATGTTGCACTTCCCTCGCATATAAGATTTGTAAATACATGGATGGAAACGGACTATCAACCAGCCCTCCGTTATGGTGTAGTGGCTAGCATCTGCCGCTCTCACCGGCAAGACCGGGGTTCAATTCCCCGTAACGGAATTCTCTTTTGTCATCAATGTACCCACTGTGTGCATTGGAGGCGGAAAACTTTTGGATCCACTTCTGCTAAATCGAGTTATGATGCATGATGTTTGTTCCGCCTGGTGTTTGGTCACGTGCACAACTCACCATCATCAACAGGTTCTGTCAACCTACCTTCCACACCAACCCTCCTCAACATCCCCCAGCATCGCATGTGAAGCTTTCGTCGTCTCTCTCCTCCTTCTATCTATGCTATTCGCACCGATATTTGCTTACCAACAGTCGCTAGCCGACGATCTTCCAGACATCGATCTCGCCCGGACGTTCGCCGACCTGGGGACACCTCAGTACAAGTACATTCTTTTTCCTCGAATCGACATCTCCGGCGGATAAATGACCCCCATTGTACGTGCTATAGGGTACCCTCCTGCATCATCCCGGAATCTGAAATGCGGCTGACGGGAACGTTTAATTCCCAGGACGCATCATGGCAACCCATCGGACAGGAACACCAGCAAATCCACCCTTCTCCACCGCTAGAAGGGGTTATCCGTCTCGGATTATTTTTTCCCTACACGAGTATCTCCAGCGAACGAGTAACGTGAGGGAGGGGCATGGTGGATAGACGTTAGGCCCACAGCGGTCTGGAGGGGGAATACTTTACACTGCTCTTGCTACTGTTTTAGATGATCCGAGTCGTAAGGTCCCATCTAGAGGGCTGGGGCCAAGTGATTTTCACATCGACGCGGAGGCGTGCTGCGTGCTATCATTTTGGGGAATCACCGAAAGGCAGCTCATATATACAATAGGCATTTTAATCCGGAAAATTTGGCCGGTCCGTTGATTCCACACAAGGGCCGAAATAGCAATCATTAAGTGCTGCTTCCTCTTTTCAACATTATGCATAGGTGCGAAATTGAAATTTTCAAAACTTTCCCCAGGAACCTCGGCGGGTAAAACCTCGTTTCCTGCATCTATCCTTATGGGCCCGTTTAGTCATTCCTCGTCTTCCTGTCAACTTCAAACCTGCCGTCCCCACTGTCACCAACATAATTGGGCAAAATCTTTTACAGAGAGCTATATCCACGTCTGTCGCTCAGCCTTTCCTGGAGACGATTTTAAACAGCCCGGCGCTCCGCGGCGATGTGAATATCAAGAATAAGAATGGAAGGACACCTCTGGCGTTTCTGGCTGCGTGGCTAGGAGATGCCCCTCTCGATTGCCTTCTAGCCTTCCGGCATCCCCACCGGAATGGACACTTGAATGATCTTGATTTCGATTTGCATGATGACCAGGGGGCGCTCACTCTTGTTCGAACCAATACATAACGGTCAGGTTATGATCCTAAAGATCTTTATCGATTGGAATAATGGCCGTCTTTTTCAGGAGAGCTCTCGATTATTAACATCTGATGGAGGGTAGTAGTATAGAGTGAGAGTTTGTGGCTACGACATATCGAGTTACGTTTTTTGCATTGCTTGGGCGGCAGAGTTTCGATGATGAGTGATGTACTAGTACAATGACATGAAGATTTTGTTGTATGATTACGGTGGTTGAGCAAGTCAGTTGCGCTGGTTTTTATACCCGGATACGTTGCGCAATTTGCCGCCCTACATTCACTATTGAAACCTTTACACCTCATCCGGGCTCAAGAAGATGTCGGAAGATTCATCTCATGAATTCGTCAATCGCCCCCAAATTCACCTTTTCCGTGTACCCACACGTCTGAAAGCTCATTCTATTTCTACATCCTCGGCCTCTTATTCTCACACAGGTATAGATAACGCCTTCGTCAAACAAACTCCTCAGGTCACATCCAAAATGGACCACGTCCCAGTCGTGAAACAGTTCAAGATCCATGCTTCATGTTATGATTCCACGGGATGCAGTTCCCGATCATGAAAGAGGCAATATATATCAAATAGAACGTTAGACAATTTCCGTGTAATGAGTCACTGAGGGGTATTTAAACCACGGGCGCTGGAAGACAGGCTTGAGATCTATCCCTCTCCCGTACACTCTTAACCATCATCCACCACCGGTTTACAACTGTGTCTAAGGCCATCGCGACGAACAGATTATATAAATACCCAGATCATCCACTGCCGGACCGACGTTGCATCAAGTAGAAGACGGAAAAGGAAACGTTACGTGCATCACTTAAGTCCTTCAGAATGAGCTCCCAGTCCACGACCCAGTGTATCGTGAAGGCGAGTTTCTATGAAGCAATGACATTGAAGTTCAACAAGAAGGGGAGACTGATGACAATTCAGCACCATTCCAATAACCCAGCTCGGAAGCCAGTCGAATACGATTATAGGTGAGTCAACTTGAAGCTATAGTTCCACTTCAAATTTTAAGATGAGAAGTAGGCGATACAGAAGATTCTGACATCATATCGAGCACAGCACACGACCCAACCAACCGATGGACATTGACGTGTTTGATGTCATTCTAGATCGCGAGGACATGGATCTGACGAAACACCAGAGGCACCAGGACAAGTATGACGAGCTCAAAAAGACTGTCAAAAAATTACCAAAATCGGGGTGGTGCCTTGTCTCCCACGATGCGATGCCTGAGGTGATTTCGGAGGTGTGCTGCTGAGCGATCACTCGATGCGTCCAAATCCGGCAGCTTTGCACGACACCTTTCAACTGTAATACCGCCAGCCCACCATCACCACAAACCACACCATTACCATCTTCACTTGCGTATGTCACACTTTACTGCCGTTTTTTTAACCCAGGCATGTCTGTCTCTGGTCCTTCAACCCGCCGTGGAGCTATCTCTAAATACTGCGTCCGAACCAGAGGTCCCAGTTTTCTGGTGTGGTGCCCATGGCCTCTTGGATCACGTCCAAGATGCTAGACGTGGAGGTTCACAGGGCATACTACAAGAACAACATCATCCTGCGTAAGGCGCTTGTGCCACATATAAAAATCTTCCGGCACTTGTAGGAGACGGGTCGCCGCAGTGCCTGGTTTCGTACCAGGTGTTTAGTATTGTAGCCCGCGGGATCGTAACTGGCATGACGCGTCTCACTAATCATACGTCGTCAGTTGTTCAAGATTAATTTCTACGGATACTTTTCAGGGTGCAGATGGGGTAAGATCGTGAAGAAATGAGCTTGATCACAACAAACTGGGGCGGCGTCAGGCATCAAACGCGATGCAAACCATGGAAACCTCACGATGTAAACTACTTCCTGTCTCGCGAGACTTCTAATAACCGTAATGAAATCATGACAGATTTTCCTCCGGCTATTCCCTGAGACGACTAATTTGGGAGCCCAGGTTCCTGTCACCGTGTGCTCCTCCCGGAAAGCATGTTCAGTTAACAGGGAGCTGGATACCGAGTAATATATCATGCTCCAGATCCACGAAACGAAAGCGTTCGGCAAAACCGGGTGCGGTACCCTCCTGACCCATGCACAAGCAAACATCGTGTCGGAACGGGACCATGTTAGATCACTCGGTGTTAAGACACGATTTCTTCCGTTAAGGGGCAAGTAGTCGCTGAAGAACAAAGTGTAGTATAAAAAATATCTTAAGCTTCACGCAAATTTGGTGATACAGGAATCTTAAGGAAAACGTGATTTATCGGTGTTGGTCTCATAAAATATCTCCGCGGCTTGTCATATCACTCTGATCTAAGGATTGACCCTACACGAGGGCAAAGAACGTCTGAGAAACCAGCTTGTTATTATTACGACAATCCTCGTTTGGTATTTATCTTCAAGAAGTGTTACATAGAGTAATAAAGGATCTAGAAATGCCTGACCGACCCAATAAAGACGCCGGGCTCATAACTCAGAGGTCCCTCGATCGAAACGAGATGTTGATATTTATTTTATTCTTTCAATTTTCCTCTATCTCGCGGATTGCGATCAGTACGGCCATGTCGTGAGAGAAGCGCTAAATAGGAGTGGTGGCGGCATAGTTGTGGCCACAGCGATAGGTATAAGCGAACGGTGCATGGAGCAGCACGGCTCGGATGAGTCTTAACGGCGAAAACCTGAGGAGAGCGATATATTGCCGGTGTTAAACAGTTCATGCCTATATACGCGGATGGATCGGGTTATGCTTGCGAGATCCAGACCTATGTTCTGCAACCGAGCTCACGAACAACAGATTCAACCTGAATGTCAATCCGTCCTTCTTGATGGCCACCATCCCCGTCTTCTTCAGCTGACGACCAGTTTAAGATCAGTATTTGACACCTATGAGGACGTTCTCCCCTCCAGCGGAACTGAGACGGTAACACCTCTCACTCCATCATTTTGACTATGTAAGTGAACGCGAATGGATGACGTATTACGGCGTGTGGGACGTCCATGGTGTTTTGTTCTTCTATTCGCCCGGGAATATCTGTAATCTGTTGAAAACGGGTGTCTTGGTGTCGGAATCTTGGAATCAAATTTCTGGGGCTGGGAACTGTTGGACTCGAAAGCATTTTCGTCTGGTGAGCGGCGGAAATGTTAAATGTTCACCCAATCCGGATTAGAATCCGTGAGCGACCACCCACAAGAAAGTATCACGATTACTCGAGCGGATGATCAGATGAGAGGAGACCAATCGTTTCTCATTGGGTCGGACGTTACACCAGCAGAAGAAACACAGCTGGGTTGATATGTGCGGCTTTGTGAGGCAGCTTTCGGCTTTTCACGGCATAGGGAGAGGTATGAATGGCTTTTTGACCTTCGGGAAGATGCTGGTGAGATATCAATGGAAGCATTGGCGATATTGCCAGCTGGTTGTGCGAGTAGAGTGGTTCTGAGTCATGGAACGCCTTGCGACTCGATTGAAGCTGAAACCTTCTGGTTCCCGTGATGGGGATCACACCGAAGACTCCGATGGAAATGCTGTATCACTGCACGTACGATATCTACGTAACCGCTAGAATGAACACAAACCTGCTCCATGGAGGAGTGCGAGGTCACTGTGTATCACTCATTACCGGCTACTGCCTAAATTCTCAACGGGTTGTTAAAAACATAACTACTCCATCAGCATCAC